CAGGCTTAGTGCCTATCAGTTACCTAAATAGTTTAAAATAGCTTTTAAACTATTGCTTGAGGGTGTGTGTGTATTAGATAAATGTGTGCTTGTGTATATATAATCTATTTCTTTTCAGCTCAGTCCTTACCTTACAAAAGAGACATAAGTAATTAAATAAAAATAATAAAATAAAATAAAAATAATTTTTAAGTAATTGCCTGTATTGGAGTTAGAATGTTTACTATTTGCAATACTACTTTTAATGGTTTTGCCTGGAATATTCTTGATTTTTTTTTTTTTGGATGACTAATCTTTGCCATATATCACCATTGATGTCTTTGAAGACATTTCACTTAATTGATATAGATATCATTTTTTATTTTTATTTTTCTTGGCTTTAGTTTACTACCTACCTCCCACCCTTTCCAATCTAAGAGTAAGTCCTGTTCTTCTAAAAGAACTAATTCTCCATTTCCACTTTGTGTCTTGTTTTAAGTCATTGATGTCTCTTCCTGGACTATGGCAGAAACCTCCTAACTAATCATTCTGCTTCCTCTTGCCCCCTATAACATTTTTTCATGTAGCAGAGAAACTTTTTTAGAAAAGAAAATCTGTTCATATCATTATCTTGTTTAGCTTTCTTGCTTTCCATTATACCTAGAAAAGATTTCTAGGTGTAATAAACTGACCGGAAAGATGCTTTGTGATATGGCCCTTGCCTTCTTACCCAGTCCCATGACCTTACCTTACTCCAGCCACTCTGACCTTCTTAAGTTTCCTTGAATATACCTACACTTTCCTGTCATAGGGCATCTTCTCTTCAGTAATTTTTCTCCAGCTTTATATGAGTGGTCCTTCTTACCCATGACTCCAGTGTGACGTCCTCAGAGACCTTGTTTGTCCACATTTCTATAAGTGAGCTTCCTCTCCTTCCATTTATACTCTTTATATCATCATCCTTATCATTAACCTTGCTTATTTAGTTACATGTATGCTCTGTACTCCTACTAGAATATCAGCTCCAGGACAGAAAGAAACATTTTCCCTTCCAGGGCCTAAAACAGTGTCTGGTGCATGTTGCTGTACTAAATAAATGTTTGGTAACATCAGATAGCTGAAGTATTCTCCTTCTCTTTTCTCTCTTTCTTTCATATATGTATATCCAATGTGTTTGGATGTGACTATCCTTTTAGGCCCTTCACATTTAGAATGAATTAGTGACTTTGTTGCCGAACTTCATCTTCATGAAACCATGGCCCACAGCTTTTTGAATGGTTGATTTTAGTTGGAAAATAGAGTGAACAATACATCTGGAAATATTCTGTCATGTTTTGATCTGAGAAACTCTAGGGAACCAGCTGCTGATTTGAAAGCCTTTTATTATGATACAGACAGTCTATTATTGTCTATAAAAGCTCCGGCTATTATACAGTTTTGTATGTGTGCTGCTTCTTTTTCTGAGCTATTAACTTGAGGGAGAATGCTTGTGTTCATAATTTATGCATAACTTGTGTTTCCTGCAAATAGTTTATTGTATTATTTTTTAAAGTTGGTTTACTGTGCATTTAGAGATTTTTTCTGCTTTGTTTTTCTTCCTTAAAATCAATCAAAAGTAAACAGCATGATTGCGATACTTTCTGCTTTGACTTGTAAAAATTCACAGATTTTCGCACTAAGTGTGGTTTAGAGGTATAATTTAATATTCCATAGTAGCTTTATGTTAATAAAATAGGTGAGTTTCACCATTTACTGTATTAAAGCTTACTTATATGATGTCACTCTATTATAGCATTTCTGTACTATGTGACCTACTGAAAGGAAAGTTAAAATGAAAAGTTCTTCATAGGGGTCATTTTTTAAAATAAATAATAATAGTTTATTTTTACATCATTTTGTACGTTTTTCCATCTCAGTCGTGATCCCCATGGACTTCCCATCACCATATCACCTGTGTGCCATCACTGGACTCTGGTCCAGTGCATTTCCCTCTCCCCTCTGTTTTTTGATCCCATTCCCTACTCATCCGCCATAAAATGCCTCTGGTATATAGCTGTTCATTATTATTATTATTTTCTCACCTGGTCCATTATACTCCTGCTATGAGTGAAACCATCTGGTATTTTTCCTTTTCTTTTTGGCTTATTTCACTAAGCATGATCTTTTCCAGCTCCATCCATGTTGCTGCAAAAGGCATGTGTTTCTTTTTTTTGGTTGCTGAATAATATTCCATTGTGTATATGTACCACATCTTTTTAATCCAGTCATCCATTTTTGGGCATTGGGCTGTTTCCATGTCTTTCCAATTGTAAATATAGCAGCAGTAAACATGGGGGTCCAGTTATCTTTTTCAATCAGTGTTTTTGTGTCTTTTGGGTAGATACCTAGGAGTGGGATTGCTGGGTCGTAGGGAAGCTCCATGTTTAGCAGTTTGAGGAACCTCCAAACAGTTTTCCATAGTGGTTGTACTAGTTTGCATTCCTACCAGCAGTGCAGGAGAGTTCTTTTTTCTCCACATCCTCAACAACATTTGTTGTTGCTAGTTTTTTTAAGATACGCCATTCTCACTAGTGTGAGGTGGTATCTTATTGTGGTTTTAATTTGCATCTCCCTTATTACGAGTGATGTTGAACATTTTTTCATATGCTTGTTGGCCACCTGCATTTCCTCTTTGGAGAAGTGTCTTTTTAGCTCTTCTACCTATTTTTTGATGGGGTTACTTACTTTATTTTTGTTGAGTTTCATCAGTTCTTTGTATATCTTTGTGATTAATCCTTTATCCTAGTTTTGTATGAAAATTTTCTCCCAATTAATGGGATGTCTGTTTTTTGTAATGTCTCTTTTGCTGTACAGAAGCTCTTTAACTTGATGTAGTCCCATCTATTTATCCTTGCCTTCACTATTGTGGCATTGGGTGTATGTCGTGTAGTGTTTGGCCCATCTTTGCTTCCAGGAATTTTATGGTTTCCATTCTTATGTCTAGGTCTTTAATCCACTTTGAGTTGATTTTTGTGTATGCATAGGGATCATTTTGAAGAAAGTATGTATATCATTTATAGTATAAAACATAATGTTGTTATATGGCACAAAGGAAAATTGAGCATTAGGGTTACAAGAAGCAGGTTTGTTGCACCAGTGTTGACTCAGTGGATTTACATCCATAGGCTGAGACCCATTTATAGGAAGTCAAAGGTTTACATACACCTTTGTTTTTACAAGGTTCTGGGTGGGTTTGCATTGGCAACTGTTCATGGTTAGATATGATGTGATTACATACCAAGAAGTGAATTATATAGTTGCACACCAAGGAGTGAGTTAAAGGGTCAGTAGTCATGGGACCCTCCCCCACAGGTCCATCCTACTTCATTCATGATTAACATCTGACAAGATTCCTACCAGGAACTAAGTTATATACCAGGTACTAAGCAAAAAAGGTGATCACTCAAGACCCCCAGACCTCTTATCTTAGGTCATCACTAAAACCTTTAACCATTACTCTTTGGAAGACATATAAAATGAAAAATAGTTACTAAAATTGCTAGGTAGGAAGCAATTGCACCCAGATAACCTAAAGTAACATTGTAATATTACTTTAAAAGTATAAATACTGCATATTCTTATACCAGGAAATAAGAAATGCAAATACGAACCTAAAATTGTGCTAGTATTAATCTAACCACTGTTAATGTTTTGTCTTTTGGATTTGTCTTATATACAGGATTTTTTTGTTTGTTATAATCATAGAATAGTGTATTTTTTATTTCATTCCTCCATTCAAAAAAATTGTAACATTTCTCCATAGTTCTGAGTTTCTATACCATTGTTTCTTTTAAAGATTTATTTATTTATGTATACAGAACTGGGATACAGGTCAGAGCTGCAGGGGTGGTGAGAGGACTCACCAGAGACAGAATGGGGAGCAGCTCATGCCAACTGATGAAGTACGCTGCTGAGGGGAGCAGAGGGCTGGACAGGAGAGGTCTGGCGAACCCTGTGGGTCACCTCCGGGGCTGAAGTGGCTTTAGCTCCCTAGTGTTGTACTTTAACCCTCTGCGCCACCCTCTATACCATTGTTTTAACAACCCCATAGTACTCGAATCTAAAGTTATCTCTTATTTTATTAAATTGCTCGTCATTGTTGCATTTATTTAAAAATTTTCTGCTATTATAAATGATCATGATACAGAGTATTTTTGTGACTCTTGTTATTACCACATTTGGTATTATTGCCTATAGGTATTTACTCATAAGTGAAATTCTTAGGTATATTTTTGAATACACACCAGTAAATGATTTTCAAAGAGTACCAGTTTACACTGACACCTGAATGGAATAGAGCAATTCTGTTGTAGCATTCAGAATTGTGTCATTTCATTTTTTTTTTAAGATTTTATTTATTTGTACATACAGAAATGGGGTGCAGGGGCGGCAAGAGGATTCACAGAAACATAGTGGGGCACAGAACAGTAGAGTGCTGAGGGGAGCAGCGGGGCAACACAGGAGATGTCTGCTGGCCATGTGGGTCACCTTGGAAGGGGGATCGAACTGGCATTGAAGCAACCACAGCTTGGTTTAGCTTCGCAGTGCAGGGCTCCAACCCACTGTGCCACCAGGGAGGACCCATGTATATTATTTCTTTTTAAGTTGCTCCATAATAAGGGGGAAAGTCATGTTTTGACAGGCATCTATTTGATTACTTACTAGTTAAGTTGTATTTACTTAGGTTTGACTTCTAGCTTCTGAATCATAAATTGTTTCAAATACTTTACCCAGAAACAGTAAAATCTATTTTTCATTTAGATATTTTATTCTACCTAATTTGGTTGACTTCTTGGACTCTTTTAGACTTAGCAGTTTGTTACTAAAAACACACACTTTTTCTCATTATGAGTGGAAGTTTGATTCCTTCAGTATAATTACTCTGAAATTTGTATTTCTGAGAATATATGTTCTAATATGTATAAAAATACTTTATAATAGTCTGCGCACCTATATTTGAATTGTGACTTTCCCCCCCATAGGTTGGAAAAGAGACTGTTCAAACCACTGAGGATCAGATTTTGAAGAGAGATATGCCACCAGCATTTATTAAGTGAGTAATTAAAGCATTCCTTTATTGTTAAGCATAATCATACTCTTGTTAAAAAAGAGAAGTTACTGATTGCAGGAGTAAATTATTTTTTTTCAAATGTAAAACCTGAATTGAAATTTCAACCATTAATCTTTCAACACTCATGTTTCCTAAAATAATAATAAGTATTCTTGCTTTTAGGCATTTTGACATAATTTTAGTAAAATGACTTGAGTTTTTGTTTTTCAGAATAAAGCTTTTAGATACACATTCTGACCCTAGTTTTATGTGAATCTTAATTATGTATACCAAACACTTTTGTTTGGACATAAGGGGATAACAGCAGATAAGAATTAAAAAAAAAATACTAAGTAGCATTTTAAATTTGTTATATTTCCATATTGCTTAGGCACTTTGGTCAATCCTACATAAAAACAAACAGAAATGATAACATTTATTTTATTATTTAAAAAATTTTTATTATGTATTTACATCATTCTCCTTTTCGTACACTGCATGTTTTCTCCTATCAGGTGTAAAATTCTCTCAAAAAATTCCCACCACCAATTCACCCATGCACCATTACCCTAGTCCCTGTGTTCTTCTCTCCCCTGTTTTGACTCCTCTTCTTCCCCCTCCATGGCAGTCTTTTATTAATAGTTGCCTATTAATTTTCTTTTTAAATTTATTATGATTTTTTTTTCCTGATCCCTTATCAATATTTTTTTTTTCTTTCTGGCTTATTTCACTGAGAATAATCCCAGCTCCATCCATGTTGCTGCTGATGGCATGAGTTTATCTTTTGTTTGCTGAATAGTATCCCATTGTGTACATATACCACATCTTCTTGATCCAGTCATCTATTTTGGGCATTAGGGTTGTTTCCATATCTTACCTATTGTAACTAGAGCTGCAATAAACATAGACCACAGGTTTTTTTTTTTTTAAATTTGTGTGTTTGTGTCCTTCAGGTAGATTTCTAGTAGTGGAATTGCTGGGTCATATGGAAGCTCCATTTTTAGCAGTTTGTTGAACCTCCACATAGCTTTCATAGTGGTTGGGCCAATTTGCACTCCCACCAGCAGTATAGGAGCATTCCTTTTTCTCTACACCCTTACCAACATTTGTCATTTCCTGTTTTTTCAATATGTGTAAGGTGCTGTTTCATTGTGGTTATGACTTACATTTCCCTGATTACAAGTACTGTTGAACATTTTTCATATAACTGTTGACTGCTGGCATTTCCTCTTTGGAGAAGTGTCTTTTTAGCTCTTCTGCCCATTTTTTGAATGGATTGTTTATTTTTTTTATTGACTTTTGTCAACTCTTTGTAGATTTTAGAGATCAGTCCCTTATCAGTAGTATTGTGTGCAACATTCCCCCCCTAATCAGTAGAGTGTCTCTTTGTTTTGGTTAATGTCTCTTTTGCTGTACAGAAGCTTTTTGATATAGGAGATAATAACATTTAATTAGTGAAAGTGCCTAAAGTTCTTGATTACATTGACCTTGATGAATGGCTTTCTTCTGTATGTAGGTCTAGTCCTAAGTAAACATAAAGGCTGAGGCAGAAGACAACAAAAGTTACTGTCTGTATATCTCAGGAAAAGTCTATTCAGTTAAAACAGAAAACTGGCAAAGATTTGATTTAACCCTTCAAACAAGAGTATATTTAAATGGCCAATAAACCTGTGAAAAGATACCTTTCTTCATCAGAGAAGTGCAAGTTATTTAAAATAAGCCCTAAATTAAGAAATCTGATAGTGCCCATTGTTAATGTGGATGTGGAACAATTAGAACTCTCATACACTGTTTTTAGGAATGTAAATTGATAGAACTACACTTTGCAAAAATAGTTTTGTATTAGTCAGGTAGAAGATCGGTGACCCCATTTCCAGATGTGTTCCTGATAAAAATTTATGCCTATGTGCAGAGGACCCATTCACAAAAACACTGGTATCAGCATTGTGCATGATGACTCCACTGGTCCATCTACAGTGGAATAAATAACAGGAATCATTGTAAGGTTAGTAATATAAAGGAATGACAACAGCGTTTCACATTAAGATGTTTCACTTTGTGTTATGTGAATTTCATGTCAATTTAAAAAAGAAGTGAGTTTTTTAAATAATTGAGGGAATTGAATGATAGGTTTAGAGTTTCCATTTATTTAAAGTCCATAAGTATGTAGAGATAAATGATATTGTGTAGGAATGCCCATTTATGTGGCAAAAAAATAAATAAATAAAGGTGGATAAGGAGATAATGATCACTGAAGGCAGGATAATGGTACCTGTGGGAGAAAGGAGGATCCTCCTTGCCTCTGGGAGAGGCACATGAGGCTTCCAATATGTTCTGTTTCTTGAGAACATATCTCAAGAAATAATTGAGTTACATGGGTGGTTATTTTATAATCATTCATTATGTTATGCATATATTTTGTGGCAATTTTCTGTATGAATGTCTATCACAATTTTATTTATTTATTTATTTATTTTTAAGATTTATTTATTTGTACATACAGAACTGGGGTACAGGCCAGAGGCTCAGGGGCGGCGAGAGGCTTCACCAGAGACAGAGTGGGGAGCAGAACAGGCAGATCGACGAAGTACACTGCTGAGGGGAGCAGCAGGCGGGCCAGGAGAGGTCTGCCACGCCATGTGGTCACCTCCGGGGCAGGCGGGAATCGAACTCATGCGGAAGCGGCTTCAGATTCTCATTGCTCAGATTCTCAACCCGCTGCGCCACCAGGGAGGGCCCTGTATCACAATTTTCAATAAAGCAAGAAGTGTTCCTGTATTTTAATGCTATAGTCTATGCTTTTCATTGAAGAGAGGCAGCTTTTCATTGAAGAGAGGCAAACTTTTCTCCATTTGATATCTGTTTATTTTTCACTTTTTGAGGGGGTTCTTTTATATGTTCCTATTCTACAAAATGTACTTGTATTAAGGAGCAAAGTATAGAATCGTAAGGTTTGCAGAGATTTTTTTTGTGATAGTATGTTTTTTGACTTGCCTTTATGGTACTTGGTGACGTCCACAGTGGCCTGCAGCTCTAACCAACACGAGCTTACTTTGTTATGTGCCATTTGAAGAGGAAAGCTGTGTTGTCAGCTAAACATAATAAGCTTGTATTTACTGTACATTAACAATATAACTCTAGTTTATACATATTTGTGCCATACCTGCTGAAATGTACAGAGCATGGTAAGATAATATACAGAGAGTTTTACCATCATAGGGGTAGATGACCCCACAGTTAGCCCTGACATTAAGCCTATAAATATCACAGCTGCAGTCTTTTTTGGGGTAGCATTTACATGAGTCTCCTCACTGTCCAAGGGCCACAGTTTATCAAGATTGACAGTGGGAAGATTCTTCTTTAAGTCAAGTATTAACACCAACTTTCCCCAAGTAACTTGGGTAATATTTGTCGTAGTTGATCCTGTGGTAATGCATGCCACCAGCATTATCAGCGACCTGGGTGCTTCTGGTGCTTGCCAGTGCGATCATGGCTGTGGCTCATGTGGCCCTGAAATGACCCTGAAGTTTCTGGATCTTCCTCAGTCTGGATTGCATGTTGGCAGCCAAGATAAGAGTTGTTGTTTACTGAATTGTTTTGGGGCATGTGACTCTATTGACATGCATGTAGTGGATATTTAGATATGAAGCAGAAGGAAATCATGCCTCTTGCAACGGTTTGAATAGATCTTGAGGGCATTATACTAAGTGAATTAAGTCAGACAGAGAATCATAAATGCAATGCTTTGTGAGCTCATTTACATTTATATGTGAAATCTAAAAAAAGAAAAAAGAAAAAAAACACTGAAGAAATAGAACAGAGGATAGGTGGTACCAGAAGTGAATGTTGGGGATGTGCAAATAGGTGAAGGTAAAGGATAAGAACATGCACTTATAAGATTAATATGTACTGGGGCTATTAATATGCATGGTTAGTCACTTATAAGATTAATATGTACTGGGGCTACTAATACGCATGGTTAGTCAGTTAACAGTACTGTTAATTATATATTTGAAAGTTATATACTTTTGTATATTTGAAAGCTACTAAGAAACTAAAACTTACAGTTACTCATATGGGGGAATTAAGAACTGTAACTATCCTAACTGTATCCTAACTATCCTAACTGTACTTAAGAGTAATCTACTAGCCCTAGTTGTTCAAGGGACTTATAAACAAATGTGGAATTAATGAAAAGCTAGAACCTTGTCACTTTACAACTTTTAATGAAAGAGTTGACTTTGTAAGGATCATCAATGGGTTAAACCATTCAGAATTTTTAAATTTTACCATGAAATTAGGGAAAATGCTTGATCTTCATCAGGAATTGGGGGAAACATAATCAACTGAGAAAATATAGTAGGCAATGTTTTAAAAGTATGTAATTTAAAATTCCATACACTGAAATGTTACTTAAAATAGCTTAGCATACAAAAACAGTATTTACTGGCTGTGGTTTCAGCAGATTTGGGGGGGAAAAATGTTCTGCAACTTAAGGCATGATGATTCTTTAGAATATAAAGTGAAGCAAAAAGTAACTTTACTAGATGCCTTGACTTGAAGGGGAAGAAGACATAAAGGGAAACAGATGGAAGCAATTAATGACATCCTTGGAATTATTGAGTAGGACATACTTTTGGGATGTTTAGTTGATGTTTGGAAGTTTCCAGGGCATGGTAAGCTAAAGAATTCTTTGTCATCTACTTTTACAATGACTTTTAGGTAGTGTCTACGTAGGCAATATTAACGAATAAAATATATTTAAACATTTTTATTTTTAGCTAAATATCTATTTGTAGAATATTGGAGTGTTAGTACTGGGGTGAAGAAAAAACTCTTGACCTATAGGTAGATTGATACCTAAGCAATCTTGTATGTACTTAAAGATTTTTTCAGGGAAGAATGTGACATTTTCAGCATTTGTGGAGGTCTCAGAATCAAATGGTCTATATGTGTAATTGGTGATCAAGAAAATGGGCTTAATATGAATTAGAGATTTGTAT